CCGGGGGTCGTTCCTGGCCCAGGGACTGGAACCAGGCCCGAGGTCACCGAGTGCATGGGCGTGGAGAGCGGGCACAGGCAGGGGTGAAGCTGGCCGCCTGTGGGGGAGGCGGACGGCAGCCCCGCCTTGTAGTGGACTCGGGGGGCCGAGTGCCCCCGGCCCTGGCAGCCCCCCGCGGCCTTCCTGCTTTGAGGACGGCTGTGAGACACCGTCACCGAGCTCCTGCTCCGGCCGGGACCTGGGCTGGACGCCACCCTGAGGGGCCTGCAGCCCTGTGCCCCCCTGCCCTGCCGAAGGTGCTGTCCCGTCCCGCAGGGGGGCAGGGATGTGCAGGCCGGTTCTGGTCCGGCGGCTCAGAGGCTGGGATGGGAGCAGCCGCCGTGAGGACGGGTCACTGACCCAGATGCCAGCCAGGTGCCCGGTGGGTGCCCTGGGACGTTTGCTGAACGAACAAGGGAGAGAAGGGGGTCACCGTGGGCGCAGGGCATCTGGCGCTGCCCGGAGGTCCAGGGAGGCCCTTGGCCACCAGAGTCCAAGAGCAGCAAGTCAGGACGAAAGCACCTCCTCCCAGCAGGGGCGTGGCCCCGTGGCTCATCCTGGGATGCGACGAGGCTTCCCCAGGTTTGACCAGCAGGAAGGGGGCCACTCCAGGCTGGTACCTGGCCAGGCTGATGCCACAAGTCCCCCATTCGGAACACGCTGGCCGGGTCGGACCCCCATGGTGCCCCCCCCGCCCCCGTCCCACCCGTGCTCCGAGCAGCAGAACCGGTCCTGCCGCAGATGAGGGGACTGGGCACCGAGAGCGGGGGCCGGGGGGCACGCAGCTGGTGTCAGAGCCAGCCTGTCTCCAGGCAGCACTGGCACCTGACGCGTGCTCCCCGCTGCGTCTGAGCTTCGGTTTCCGGGCGCTGCCCAGGGACCCCACCGGTGCAGGAAGAATGTGAAGTTATCTTTGACTTTTATGGCCCCTTTTTTCCCTATTAAGATGCTTAGAGCTGTAAATGTGGTCATAAGGAGCTCATTTATCTTGGCTGAAGTGCGGCTATAAACTATCGGGTGCTGGGGACAGAGCCGCTGAGATGATTGTTTCTGCTGGTGCCGATAAATTCCGACGTGGAGCAGAAAGGTCAGCCCCTGCCAGATAAAACGCCTTTTCAGCCTGTTAATTAGAGCTTTATAAGGACATGGAAGAACGCACTCTGGGGGCAGAATTTAGAAAAGGAGCCAATAGAAGGGGCTTGGAGGGTGCCCGGAAGCCCGGCTCGTGCAGACGGGGAGCTCGTGCAGACGGGGAGCTCGTGCAGACGGGGAGCGGGCAGTGGCGGAGGGGACTCTGGTGTCCTGGAGGGAAACCAGCGCTCCCAGAAGCGGGCGGTGCGGGGACCCCGCTCAGCAGCCCTGTTTCCACCAAACTTCTAAAAAGCCCGGGACTTCAGGCTTTGACCCGGGAATGGTCCCGTCTTTGGGTCTCCTCCCGATGCCCGGGCACAGGGGGACCCTGACACCGTGGGAGATGCTCCTTAAAGCGCAGTCTGGCACCCCGGGCAGCCCTGGGCGGAGCCAGCAGGGGAAGGCTGTTGGTTTGCCCGCAGGCGTCCCGGCAGGTAGTTTCCTGGTAACTGAGCTGGACAGCAGCTCAGCCCTCCCGCCTCCCACCCGCCCTGACCTCGGGGCTTCTGCCTCCAGCAACTTCCATCCCTGTTTTCTCTCTGGGTCCCTCCCCGTCCTCCCCCGATGATGGTGAATTGTAAGGCACGCGGACAGAAGTCCGCCAGCACAGGAGAGAGAGACCCAAGGGCTGACCAGGAATGAGGGCTTAGAACCCACCAGGCGCAGGACAGAGAGGAGACCTGTGCAGGACAGAGGCGCATGCGCTGAGGTCGGCGCCCAGAGGGCCGAGTGGCTGGAGCTCAGGCGCTCCCCCGGAACAGACACACAGGGCAGCCCCCCACCTGTACACAGAGCGCTCGAGACGCACCGAGACTGGAAAACCACGCGGAGGGCGGACGCCCCTCGTCTGGAAGGGCTGCCCAGCCCCAGCCCCCCCCCAAAGGCTGGCGGCACCCAGGGGCTCATCTGGGGACGTTTTAGCCGGAAGGGAATTCCCAGGAGACGTAGGTTGGCAGCTGTGATCTCTGGCTGTAGGCATCGGGCGTGCGTTTCCCCAGCGGCCGCGCGGCCCTAGGCTCTTCTGGTCGGCTCCCGTCTACGTGGGTGTCCCTGCCCCCAGGGGACCGTACAGCTGCGTCCACTGATGACACCGGGTGCCCGTGGGGGTCTCCGATGCAGATCCTGCTAGAGGGACAGGGTGGCTTCCTCTCTGCTTGTGGTCACCAGGTTGGCAGAACCCCCAGAAGCTTGTTAATCAGATGGGGTCCGTGGCTGCCTCCACCTGTGCACGCCTGGGGGGGCCGAGGGGGGAGGGGCAGGCCCCACGGTGATGCCGATCGCCCGCAGGGCTGGGCCGGGCAGGCAGAGCCTTCTACATTCATCCCGTGGCAGCAGGCAGGACAGACTCTTAACCGGTGGGCGTGGGCAGCGCTGTGGGTACTGGGAGCGCGGCTCCCCAAGAGAGAGGCCCCCCAGGACCTAGGACGGCGTCATGGACGGAGATGCTTCCTCGAGGAGAGTGCGCGTGTTTTTCACGCAGTCGGCGTTGCACGTTCGGCCCTGTTCCCACCAGCGTCCACGGTGGACTTCCGTTAGACGGCTTGAAGGACCTGAGCCCACTGGGGGTGGGTGACCTCTTCCAGAGGAGGAGGAGCCGGCCCTCCATCAGGAGAGGCCGGGCTGGGGCTTGAGGGCCCGAGCCTCTCCGCTGTGTCACCTGGGGACAGATGCAGGCAGCCCGGGAATCAAGACGGCGAGCGCATCCTTCCCTCCAGGGAAGTTTCCCGGGGGCTTTCCCCTCCTCCCGTCCCCCCTCGGCCCCTAACCGCTGGCCTGCTTCTTAGTTTGGAGATTAGTTTGCTCTTTCTGGAATCCTACGTGAGTGGCATCATACAAGATGTCCTCCTTTTTGGGGGCCGGGCTCCTTCATTCAGCCGACGCTGGGAGGCTCGTCCCGGCCGCGTGTGTGAGTTGCTCATTCTTCTGACCGCCGAGCGCTCCGCTGGGTGGGACGGCACTGGCTGTTGGGCTGTGGGCCTGGGGCACTTGGGCCGTTCCCAAAAGGGACTTCGGGAAGTCCCGGGTCGGGGCACCGCTGTGTCCTCGCGTGGGGTGAGGGCTAGCAGTGTCTCTGGAGCTTAGCGAATCCCACGGAGTTCATAAGGCGCCACCCTCCGGACCTGACGCTCTTCCCAGGGCCCCCGCCTCCTAACACTCGCACGTCGAGAGCCTGGGCTCCAACACTGATTGTAGGGGACACACACATTCAGGCCACGGCGGATGCGGTCTTGCTCCATCTTCCGTGGCAGTGAGAGAGAGACGGAGGGAGAGAGAGGGCCGGGCCCGTCCTGCGTCCTCTCTGGAGGCCCCCCACCCCATCCTGAGGGCCGCACCCCCATGACCCCATCGCCTCTCAGGCCTCCGTGTCCGCACACCCTCACCCTGGCCTCAGCGTTTCAGTGTACGAATCTGGGGGGCACACAGACATCCCGTCCACAGCAGTAAATGTGTGTTTAACCGTTTGAGAAGCGGGCACTGTCTTCCGCGGCTCCTGTGCCGTGGCGCGTGGCCAGGAGCCGTGGGTCAGCAGCTCTCCGTCATCCCCACCTCTCGGTCTGGTCCGTCTTCTCAAAGGTAGTCCCCGAGGAGGGGTGCCTCGCTGTGGCTGTGATTAGCACTTCCCGAATGACTGACGCCGTGTAGCATCTTCTCGGGGGCTCACCCGGCATCCACGCGTCTTTGGTGAAGTATCTGTTCAGATCTTGTGTGTGTTGTTTGCCTTGCGTTGTTTTCTCATTAGTGCATTTTGAGAGTTCTTTTTTTGTTGTTGCAATTTTTTTTTAATGTTTAATTTTGAGAGAGAGACAGAGTGAGTAGGGGAGGGGCAGAGAGAGAAGGTGACACAGACTCCGAAGCAGGCTCTGGGCTCCAAGCTGTCAGCACAGAGCCTGACGTGGGGCTCGAACCCACGAACCACGAGATCATGACCGGAGTTGAAGTCGGACGCTTAACTGACTGAGCCCCCCAGGCGCCCCAAGAGTTCTTTCGTATGGTCTGGATGCCAGTATTTCACCAGCTGACTTGTAAGTGTGTTTTCCCGGTCTGAGGGCTTTTTACTCTCTTTACACGTAAGTTTCTGGAGCTTTTAAATTCTTTTTGTAGCCCGGTGTACTGATTCACTCTCATCAGATCGTGCTTTCGGTGTTAAACATGAGACTCTGCCTAACGGAGGGTCCCAAAGATTTTTCTCCTGTGGCTTTTTTTTTTTTTCTAGGTGTTTCATAGTTCTAGGCTTTACATTCAGGCTCTGATTCATTTTGTTGTTTTTAAAATATTGTGTAAGGTATGGATTAAAGTTAATTTTTGCTGGTTTTTAGTACACGGGTATCCATATAAAACACCTTAATTTTAAAAAAGAAAGTTGGGGGGCGCCTGGGTGGCTCAGTGGGTTAAGCGTCTTGACACTTGGCTCAAGTCGTAATCCCAGGGCTGTGGGGTCGAGCCCCATGCCTGGCTCTGCGCCGACAGCTGGGAGCTGTTGGGGATTCTCTCTCCTCTCTCTCTCCCTCTGCCCCCCCTCCCCCCCATAGGTAAACATTAAAAAAAAAGCTGAGGTGCCTCAGGACTAATTATTTGCAGGGCAATGCCATCCTTTTTCTCGCTCTCGTTTCCGGAATTTCTTGGGTGATGAAAAATTACTCTTGTGATTTTAAACCCCTAACGAAGGAAGGGAGGGGTGCGTTTGCTGCCTCCAGGGCGCCGCCCCTGCTTGGCCGCCTGCCAGGGCTGCGCACCTGCCCGGTGGCCTCGTGGTCTCAGCGGGTCCCCGCATCCCCCCTCAGCACCCCCCCAGAGGGGGTCCCCGCTTAGCGCCCCCTCCTGTCTTGCAGGCTTTGGGAACCATCACTCCAGTGCCTGTCACGGGTCCTCAGGTCAGCTCCTTGCAGAGGTTGGCCGGACAAGGGGCTGCCGTGCTACCTCAGGTAAGCGGCTCGCAGGTGGGCCCCGGGGGTGTCTGTCCCTCCCCGGCCCCTCCGGCGTGAGGACCTGCTCGGGCAGGTCCCTTCCCCCTCCTGCCCTTCCTGCCGTGAGAGAAGGAGACAGACGTTCCGACTGGACCCAGTGTGGACGATGAGGAATTGCAGAATCAGTTTAGTGGGTTGTGACCAGGATTTTTTTAAGGGAGTCAGCTAGGCCGGACCAGAACAGGGCCAGCGTATCGAGATGCACCAAAGGCCTGTTTCTTGAATAACTTGTCTCTGGGTCGTGCACTGGGTCATGAGGTCACGGAGATTTTGGTCGTGGTTAAAACGGCACGGGAAGCTCTGCCCAAGATGGTTCATTCAGGGGGGCCGCAAGGTGCACGGCTGGAGGTCAGGCCGCGGCGTCCTTGCCGGGGCTCCACACTTCGGACAGGTCTCCTGGCCTCCTAACCCTCCTAGACCGAGCCTCCTGTCCTGCAGAGGGGCTGCTGAGGGGGGCTCCTTGGTGGCCTGGGGAGGAATCAGATGGCACAGGGCCGTCCTCATACAGAGCTTAAGCGGTGCCCAGCCGTGTTGAGCGAGTGCTGTGGGGGCCGTGCCCGCCAGGGCCCCTCGGCCACAGAAGTGAGGACAGCTCGTGCCCGTCCCAGGGCTACGGGGCCGGACAGCTGCCCTTGCTCAGGATGGTGAAGGAGGCTCTGTCCTCTGTCCCCGAGCGCCCACCTGTGCTGACCCCAACAGGGCGGGGAAGGGAGAGAGCGTGGGGGCAGGAAGGCCCGCAGAGGTCCCTGCGGGTAGGGGGGAGGCCAGCCTGGGTCTGCACACATCTCCACGTGGCACCGGCTGCAAGTCACAAGCTCTGGGGCCCCCGAGTGTGTGTTCTCGGGGCTGGAGGCCTACGTGTTTGGGCCCAGTCAGAGCCCGGCCCTGCAGCCTGGGCACGCTTGCCCCCATTCGGAGTTGGGGTCATGTGGTGTCAGGTGGCCAGTGTGGACCAGAGCCCGCAGCCAAACCGGGGTGACCTGGGAGGAACCGGCAGCACAGACCGCCTCCCTTGACCTGAACCAGATGTCGAGGCTGGGAGCGCCCCTCTCCCCGCCCACCCAGTGTGCCGCGCCCCCCCCCCAGAGGACAGCAGTCCGAAAGCTGCCCCAAGGTGGGCGAGGACCGCAAGGAATCTTCCCCAGGTTCCCGCCTGCGGTGTTGGTGTTCGTGCTCGGCTCCTGTCCTGACCCCGAGTGCCAAGGACAGAGCAGGACAGGATCACACAAGTGGGCGACTCCCCTGATGGTGGGGGGCCGTTGCAGGGGGCGGGGAGGGCAGGGCGCTGGAACTGAGGCCCCACCCCCTGGGGACCCTGGCGAGGAGCAGGCAGACGAGGTGCCAGCTTGACCTAGGGGCACCTGCTTCAGGTCACAGGGCCCTGGGGGGCCACCCTGCACCCCTGCCTCCACGAGGGGTGGGTGGGGCCAGCGCGATGCAGGCTGTGGAAGTCCTGGCTGCAAGTCCCGCTGCCCTAACGACGACAGCTAGAGCCTTGTTTATCTCCTTGGGGGAGTCCCTCCCCAGGCCTCGATTTGCTCATCTGTAGAATAGGCCAGCATCCCTACTTCACAGGGGGGCCCAGATAAGGTGAGACAGGGCAGGTCGTCTTCCGTCTCCTTGTCCCTGAGGCGCTAGGACAGATGTCACGGGGGGGGGTGTGAGGCTCAGTTCCAGTCGCAGGGGTGCCGGTGACAGCTGACAGTCGGGATGCACACGTTGCACATCCTCCCCACCCCCAGAGCACGGATGACGTGCGTGCCCAACACCACACAGGTCCCCGAGGGGCAGGGCCGGCCCGAACCACGTCGTGGCTGCGGCATCTGCTTCCACTCCTGGTGCGGGCCTCGCGGAATGCCACGTGCCGCCCGTGGCTCACAGCGCTGTGGCTTTCACAGGGAGCGCAGCGGCGGCCCCCTCCCTGGTTATGAAGCAGACTGAGTGGGGCCAGGAGCCCCCAGTTGGCCCTTCCCAGTCCCCGCCCCAGTGACAGCGCTGTGTGCACTTCTGACGTCCAGGGAGCTCCCTGCTTTGCGGCTGGACACAGGGGCCGCCTGACTGGCCCACGTGCAGCCTGCCCGTCACCCTCCTTCTCTCACCGTTTTGAGTGGAGCTGGAAGGGGCTTGGGTCCAGAGCTGAGCCCCGTGGCCTCTCCACCGCTGTCACCTCACCTCTAACACGGGAGGCGTCTGAGCCCAGCCACGTCCATGTCCGGGCTCCTCCCTTCCCGAGTCCCGGCTCTGTTCGGGACCGCGCCTGTGGTCACCCCGCCTGCCTGGGTGTCTGTCCGACCACGCCACTGTCCTCCCCTCCCTCCCCAGGTTAGGCCAAAGACTCTGATTCCAGACAGCCTCCCCGTCACCCCAGGCCGGGACCGGCCACCCAAGCAACCCCCCACGTTCCAGAAGGCCACCGTGGTCAGTATCAAGAACCCCAGCCCAGCCCTCCCCACCGCCAACAACACCGTGAGCCATGAGCCGACGCCCAGCAGCCAGCCCCAGGCCCCCGCCGCATCCTCGGCCGTCGCCTCCCCCCTGAGCGGCGCCGGGGTGGCCTACGCCATCATCTCCACCGCCCCCAGCAGTGCCGCCGTGTCTGTGGTCAGCGACAGCATCAAGGTCCAGCCCGTCCTCATCAGCGCCGACAAGAAGGTGGGTGTGCACCTCCCGCGTGTGCGGAGCGAGAGAGTGGATGGCGGAATGAGCCCGTGAATGAGTGGGGTGTAAAGAGAGGAGCGAATCAGCAGTCCCGCGAGTGTGTCAGAGCTCCAGTGCTCGGGGGACGAAGGGGTGACAGGCGAGCGAGGCAGTTCTAGAAGGGACGGCGGCACGGAGGGATGAAGGGGAGCGAATCCGCACGTGAACGGTGTGGAGGTGGGTGGGCGTGTGACCGAGAGACTACGTGGCCGAATGAATGAGTATCGGTGGGAAAAGAACGCCTAGTCGATGAATGAATGACTTCATTCAGCGGGATGATGAATTAAGCAGCACGGTATGTGTCCGCAAGAGGCCAAAGCTGGCGGTGGGTCTCCAGCCGGTGCAGTTGGGTCGTCGAGGACCTTCGGGGGTGCCAGGTGCCTGGAGGAAAACCTGTGAGTTCTTGCCAAGATTTGAAACTGAAACTCACATCCCCTTTCTTCCCCCTCAGAGCTCCTTGGCGATTGTGAGGCTTGAGGCCCTTGGGGCTGCGTGAAAGGCATCCCTTCTTCTCTGGGGCCTCTTTTCCTCCGTTCCCAGCTCAGGATCTTCCCAAAGGCCCCTCTCTTGTTCATGGCCAGCATCCCTCCTAATTCCCAGCCTGAGAGCTGGTGCTCCGCTTCCCTGCTCCTGTACCTTAGTGCACACACTGTACTTCTGGGAGCGCTGTGCTTCTGAGCCCTGCCCGCCCCCCCAGGACGGCAGCCCCGGGGCGTCTCCGCTATGACAAGCCACAGTCAGATGGCCGGACGCGCCCCTCAGGACCACGCCCAGTCCCGAGGGGGAGCTCAGCAGAGTTTGTGGGATGAGTGCCCTTTTCACTGCAAACTCACCAGCATTTTGTCCTGCCATTTTAAACACTTTTATGCTATTTAATTGCTGGGAACAGATGCTTGCTGTTCAAAGTTGAATTCCTTTGGTTATTATGAAGCTTGAATGTTTCCCCTGTACTTTTCAAGAATTCCATCTCCTTCAACGTGACTTGCTTGAGGGTATTTTTTGCCCTGTTTTCTGCTGGGGATCTGAATGGTTTTCTTACCATGAATATAAAGAGGGGCATTTTTTTGTCCCATCAAGAGAATTCTGGGGTTTTAAAATTGTGATACAAAGGGGAACAAAGAGCCTTTCCTCAAGCAAGCGGAAAAACGGAATGCGCTCTCTCTTCCTGCTCGGGAGCTCTGAATTCACAAGACAGGCACGTTCTCTGTGGGAAAGTACGAGGTCAGGTCCTTCCTGGCTGGGACCAGACCCTGGCTGGCTGCTCCTGGTGAATTCCTTCCCTCGGATCCGTGCGAGATAATGATTCTTTGCCAGTTCCCTGTCCAAAAAATTAATAAAGTATTTGAGCCACAGATGGAGGGAGAGACCGGGCTGCATAAATCCCTTTCTGACCTTCCAGCCTCAGATCCTTCGATCAAACCAAATGATTTCCCTGAACCCCGATGAGAGCTGGCTGACGTGGGGCTGCTCTGGGCGATAGTGAGCCCAGTCTGGAGTCCACGTCCCCCTTCTCCGCCCCCAGCCCACGGAGGCCAGATGTGAGAGCCTCAGACACAGTGACTTAGGGGCCCAAGGCGCATGGGGAAGAGTGGGCGATGCAGACAGACAGACCCCTGAGGACCTCAGGCGGCAAATCGGAACCCTCTTGGGCTCAGTTTACCTGCGTTTGAGGTGGGGGTAAAGGAACTCACCTTTCTGAGTCTTCACTGCCCGAATCTTTACCACCTCTTTGGAGTTAGGAGGTGAGGCTCAGAGAAGTCGAGTGAGCACCCTGAGGCCACCCCTCTGTGTCCTGGTAGCGCAGGGCTGAACCCAGGGCCTTCCGGCTCCTAAATCAGGCCGCCCTCATGCAGACCCTCCCCAAAGTGAGAAGGGCGTGTCCAGGGCGAGGGGGGCGGGTGGCAGGCGCCCCGGGGCCGCAGAGCTCAGTGCAGGCCTCCTCTTTCTGCTGTGATTCCGCCTCCTGAGGCCCCTCTCCCTCCCCAGCTCCCCCTCCCTGCCTCACCCCTCCGCCACATCTTCTAGGTCATCATCATCCAACCTCAAGTGCAGACGCAGCCCGAGAGCACGGCGGAGTCGCGGCCGCCCACGGAGGAGCCATCTCAGGGAGCTCAGGCCACCAAAAAGAAGAAGGAAGACCGGCCCCCGAGCCAGGAGAACCCCGAGGTAGGGGAGCAGGGCACAGCCGCCCTGGGCACTCCTGGGTGGGCCTTGGCAAGGGTGACTGAGGGGCAGAGGTTAGCAAGGATCAGGGTGACTGGTGGCAGAGCGCGCCTGCGTCTCCATCTGTAACGCGGGTGGGGAGTCTCCCTTCCCGGCAGCCTAGCTGGGAAATCCCGTGGGTCGGGGTCTGCTCGGTCCAGGGGACATAGGGCTGGTCCGGGCGGCTCGCGTGGCCCCTCGTGGGCAGAGCAGGACCCCGGACGCCTCCCAACCAAGTCAGCTGCAGCCAAGGCTGGCCGGGGGATGCAGATGTCTCCCGAAAGTTCCTGTAGAACTTTCCAGAAATGGCGCATTAGTGCCTCCTCCCCTGCCTCCACCTGAGGGAGGAGGGACGACTGGCATCCTGACCCATGGCTGACACAGAGCCGCCCGCACCCTGGAGGTAGACAGCGGCTCATTCAGGGTCATTCTTTGTTAACTTTTAGGGACAGCAGGTGACCGTTCTTGTGTTACTGTTTGTATCCTCAGCCATCCTGGGCCCCCCTTTGGGCCCTTTCCCATGCAGCTGCCCTCACCTGGCCCCTTCTTCTCCCCTACTTGTCTGTCTTATGAGATTGACTTCAGACATCCTCTCCTCCAGGCAGCCTTCCCTGACCACCTCACCTCAGTGAGCAGAAGAGGTCCCTCTGGGATCCTACGGCTCCTTATGATTTTTTTTTAATAATTCATTGCCAAGTAGGCTAACATACAGTGTACACAGTGTGCCCTTGGTTTTGGGGATAGATTCCCATGACTCATCACTTACGTACAACACCAAGTGCTCGTCCCAACAAGTGCCCCCCTCGTCACCCATTTCCCACCCCCCCATCAACCCTGTTCTCTGTATTTAAGAGACTCGTTTTTATGTTTTATTTATTTCCGAGAGAGAGAGAGAGACAGAGCATGAGGGTCAGGGGAGGGTCAGAGAGAGAGGGAGACACAGAATCTGAAGCAGCTCCAGGCTCTGAGCTGTCAGCACAGAGCCCGACGCGGGGCTCAAACCCACGAACCGGGAGATGATGACCTGAGCCGAAGTCGGACGCTTAACCGACTGAGCCACCCAGGCGCCGGCTTTTGACTCCTTGAGGACCCTCCACACTGTTTTCCAGAGCGGCTGCACCAGTTTGCATTCCCGCCAGCAGTGCAGGAGGGTCCCCTCCCTCCACGTCCTCGCCAACATCCGTTGTTTCCTGAGCCCTTGTGATTCTTTTTTATCCACGCGCCGTCGTTGTCAAACGCAGTCAGTCTTCCTTCCATTCATTCATTCATTCACTTGCTCTTCAGACGTGTCTTGGAGTTTGCTCTGTGCTGAGGGTATGGACGCTGAGATAGGGCAGGGGGAGCCCTGGCCCTGGGGGAACTCAGTCCTCCAGGCGCGGCCACCGGGGCTTCAGCTTGGGTTAAAAAATGTCCTGTCGGGGCGCCTGGGGGGTTCAGTCGGTTGAGCAGCCGACTTTGACTCAGGTCATGATCTCACGGTTCATGAGTTCGAGCCCCGCGTCAGGCTCTGTGCTGACAGCTCAGAGCCTGGAACCTGCTTCAGATTCTGTGTCTCCCCCTCTCTCTCTGCCCCTCCCCCACTCATGCTCTGTCTCTCTCAAAAATAAACAAACATTAAAAAAGGTCAAGTCAAGTGTCATCAGAGAATGAACATTCAGAACCGTGGGAGGTGCAGGGAGGAGAGGGCATGTTTCCACGCAGAAGGACTGGGAAGGCTTTGCAGAGGAGGGTGGGGAGGGGCAGGAGGGACGGCGTGTTTGTGGAGGCCACAGAGGGGACGTACAGGAAAGCCGGTGGGTAGCGCGTCTGCGTGAGAAACTCGAAACTCGGGATCGGAGAGACGCTGGAGCCTGATCCTGGGAAGCCGGCTGCCATGGTGGACGTTCGTTCCTTGGGTAGTAGGGAGCCATGGAGTGACTTCGTTATGGACCCTTGACGTGTCCAGAAAGCCCACTGGCTTTTTGGGAGTACCTTCGATTTGGAGTCGACCACGCGCTGAGGCCGAGGTGGAAGCAGGTGTCTGTCTTCTGTGGGCCCCGGGCCTCATTTGTTCAGGAGACACCCGGTTCTGTCCCTCAGTGCCGTGTGTGCCGTGAGCCCCGGGCTGGCCTCCGCCCGCACCCCTGCGCCCTCCCACGGGGACCCGTAGCCTCTCGGAGGTTTTCTGGGCGGCTTCTCTGTGTTCTCTCAAAGTAGATCTCAGCCGGGTTATTGTGCATTTATACAATTAGTATAATTACATTTAACCACATAATTAGTGTAAATACGTGTAATGACTTAAATAGAACTTGCAATTACAAAATGTCCTGGTGTAAAAATCCTTATTAAACTTTTTTTTTTTTTTTTTTTTTAACAAGGGGTCTGGGAGCTGTTGGGTGGTGTGGATGGGGGGCTTGGTGGCGCCCGTTGAACCTGGTCACGAAAAGCCCAAGTCAAGAGCACTTGAGGCCGGGCAGCAGCTGCCCCAGAAACCTCACCGAAGTTGCTGGCCGGCCCCAGGGCTGCCGGCGTGACCGGAGGCCCCCGGGGCCCCTCCAGTGAGCCGGGGGCCCCCGCAGCCCGTGGAAGAGAAGTTGGGTTCACCAGCACCCGGGGTGACCCAAGGTCTCTCCCCTCGCCCCTGTTCAGGACACGGCTGTGGCCTTTTCTGTGCCCCCCATCATCCTGGCCTCAGGCAGCGTCTGACGGACACTGGCGTGGCCAGAGCAGCACATGGGCTGCGCCAGAGCAGGGGTCCCAGCCCCGAACGAGCCCTGACTGTGGCCGCCTCTCCGGCTGAGACCTGTGCACACGGATGCCCCTCCCCCCACGCCGTCCGGTGGCCGCCGTCCCCTTCCTGCCCCTGGACGGGCTCCTCCCCATCTGTCCTCCCAGCAGTAGAAGCATCTTTCTAAACCACAGAAATAACCAACCAACCCCCCCCCCCCCCCCCCCTTCTTGAAATCAGTCCAGGGCGGCTCAAGGTTCTGACCGGGAGGTGGCCCCCTGCGACAGCACATAGAATGTAGGAGTGTACGCCGGGCAGAGTTCACAGGGAGACAGCCCAGGGCCCGCCGACTCCCCGAGGGGGTGAATGGGTGCCTCTGGTTTAGGGTTACGGTGAACAGATAGGGAAGCCGCGCCATCCCAGGGACAGGACCTCAAGGAACAGCCCGTACACACCGCGTGCAGTATGTAAATGAGGCTCGGCTCCTCCTGGGCGGAGACGTCAGTATTCTAATGAGGTGCCTGTGAGCCCCATCATTCCGGGTCACTCTGCGTCCGCGCAGGCGCCGGGGGGGGGCAGCTTAAGAGTCCTGGCGGCCTGGGGGCGCCTGGGTGGCTTAGTCGGTTGAGCGTCCGACTTTCGCTTGGGTCATGATCTCGCGGTTTGTGGGTTCGAGCCCCGCGTCGGGCTCTGTGCTGACTGCCAGCTCGGAGCCTGGAGCCTGTTTCAGTCTGTGGCTCCCTCTCTCTCTGACCCTCCCCTGCTCACGCTGTCTCTCTCTCTCTCTCCTAGAAATAAATAAAAATATTTAAAAAAAAAAAAAAAAAGAGTCCTGGCGGCCTGGGCCCGGGCCCGTCAGGACTGTGGCCTCACCTGAGGGCTGGTTCCGGGTTTCACTTCCCTGCGCTTAGGAGCTAAGCCGGGAAGACGAGCTTCCGGACAAATGTGAGACATTTGCGGGACTAGCAGGTGGGCAGTAAAGGTGGGGGCCTGGGGACTGGCTGGTGAAGGAAGAGACAACACAGGCCGCCGTGCTGTATCCCAGGAGCCCAAGCAGCGAGCAGGACCCCAGGGCCACCGGGGCAGCGGTGAGGGCAGCTCACACCAGGCAGCATGGGTCCCACAAGCTCTTCTAGAAGGAAAGGAGCCCACCTGCGCCGGAGGCCACAGCCAGCTGGGGAGGGGGAGGGAGGGGGAGGGAGGGGGGGGGGGGGGGGGGGGGGGAGGGGCGAGCAGCGGGCGGGAGGCAGAGAAAAACGGAAACAGAGAGGAGTTGTGCCCGGGATGAGTGGCGGCGGGAACGACGCAGCCCGCGTGTGGAGCGTGAATTTATCCACGATGGGCCTGTGTTTGTTCAGGAGCCTCAGGCAGGTTTGTTTCCTTAAAAAAGGGACTAACAGCCCCTTTTCCAAATAAGTAAGGACCCATGAAGCACAAAACCTCGTGAAACATAAAACGGGATCAGGTAAACGGAAAAATTGTTTGGAACCTTGGTAATGAGAAACATGCTGATTGGTTGAAATTAAAAATCTTACTGGACGGGGGCGCCTGGGGGTGGCTCAGCCTGCTAAGTGTCCGAGTCTTGATTTCGGCTCGGGGCATGATCTCACGGTTCGTGGGCTCCAGCCCCGGATCAGGCTCTGCGTGGACAGTGTGGAGCCTGCTTGAGATTCTCCGTCCCCCTCTCTCTCCCTGCCCCTCCCCTGCTTCCAAGTATTTACACACACTCTCTCTCTCTCTCAAAAGAAATGAATAAACTTTATAAAAAAACTTACTAGACAGGATGAGCGGGGATAATCAGTGCTTTGGAAGATGCCACCACAGCTGTAGCGCAGATGCAAATAAGGACGTGCGGGCGCCGGGGGCTCAGTCAGTTGGGCGTCCTGCTCCAGCTCAGGTCAGGATCTCACGGTTCGTGGGTTCGAGCCCCACGTCTGGCTCTGTGCTGACAGCTCAGGGCCTGGAGCTGCTTCTGATTCTGTGTCTCTCTCGCTCTCTGCCCCTCCCCTGCTCGTGCTCTGTCTGTCTCTTTCTTTCTCTCTCTCAAAAATAGACATTTAAAAAAAAAGGAATCCTTACGAAAACCAGCCCAGAGGACGTGACAGATGTGAGTGGAGGCTTTGGGGGGCGGTAGCCGAATTATGGAGCAAGTAGATGAAGTGACAGTTTGCGTGGCCCCCACGGTGATGGGGGTTGTAGTGGGGGGGCATCTGGCTCCCGTTTCCTGTCCTCAAGTGACTGGGCTTGAGTGACCTTCTGTGGAGGAAGGGAGGTGGGAAGGGGGAGGCCGCGTAGGGGCCAGGAGGCGGAGCTTGGTGTCCGCAGCGGTGGTGTTCACCCAGACTGCTCTTCCCCGGGGGGGGGGGCGTGCAGTGAGGGGCCCCTAGAGTCCTCGCCACCATACAGCCTGGGCTGCTGTCGCTGAATGTGCCGGAGGCCACAGCTCCTTTTCTAGCAGCTCCACGGCCACGTTAATCATTTTGTGAGTCTCGGGTTCACGTGAGCCCACAGCTTCCAGAATAAAGTTTACAGGCCCTACTTTTCATGGGGTGGTAGTGCTTCATGGTTTTCTAAATATAATTGGGGGGGTCCGTCTGGTAGGCGTCCAGTGCTTGGTCTCAGCTCAGGTCACGGTTTATGAGATCGAGCCCCACATCGGGCTCTGCGCTGACAGTGTGGAGCCTGCTTGGGGTTCCCTCTCTCTCTCTCTCTCTCTCTCTCTCTCTCTCTCTCGGCCCCTTCCCTGCTCACGTGTCCGCTCGCTCTCTCATTCTCTCTCAATAAATAAGCTTTAAAAAAAGTTTTAAGTCTATAATTCAAGAAAAGTTTACTGAAATCAAAGAAGACTTAGGTACACATTACGTGCACTGGGCCTTTGGTACCAGGCACCGGGGCAGATGAACATGTGCATGATGAGAGAGTGGCCCACACGGCCACACAACCCGGCCAGGTCCCTGCTGGGTCTGGAGGGCGTCCAGGCAAAAGCAGTCACGTCACTGTGGAGGGAAAGCCGGCCTCTGGCTTTGCCGCACCGCATGCAGGATAGAGTAATACCAGAGCCGAGGGTGTTGTGTCCCGCCAAGCTGGCCTTCAAACTGGAAGCCTCCATCCACGTAGAAGGTCTTAGTGTTTTCTTAGTGTTTCTTTATTTTTGAGAGAGCGAGAGCAAGAGCGAGCGGGGGAGGGGCAGAGAGAGGGAGACCGAGGATCTGAAGCAGCCTCTGCGTTGTCAGCTGGGAGCCCGATGCAGGGCTCGAACTCACGAACCGTGAGATCGTGACCTCAGCCGAAATCAAGAGTCGGATGCTTAACTGACTGAGCCACCTGGGCACCCCTACCCACGTAGAAGATTTTAAATCTGCTAAGAACTCCGGAGATTCCGTTCCGTGTGCCTGGCTCAACGCCCACCGGCCCACAGGAGATCCAGGGTCCCTCTGGCACCAGCCCTCGGGCGGGCGGCTCCGATGCTGAGCCACGGGGTGAAAGGAAACAAGATAAGCATGTCAGATCGCATGGAAACAGTGCGTTCTCCGATCACGTACAAGTGCTTCACCTCAGTAACATCCAGGCAGGAGCGTGAGAGAAGGTGGAGGCAGAGGAGTCTGTGTAGCAGCTGAGCCTTCAGTGAATCAGAGAATGTTGTGTAAAGCTGACTGACTGAGGGGGAGAACTATTTTTTAACGGCCTAGAAGTAAGAAATGGAAAGGAAGAGTAAACAGTCACGATTGGAAATGTTGAAGAAACCCAAGAGAATCAATAATAAAAAAACAAATCTGCAGACAGAATTTGCCGCAGCAGCGGGGTTGAGCATTAAACGTAAAGCATCGGTAATTGTCACAGAAGGAGCAGCCTGTTAGAGGCTTACAGATAACCGTATTTACGGTAGCTACAAAAAGACTAAATACCTAGGGACAAATTCATTGACAGCCGTCAAAACCCACTGGCGGGTAAGTTTAAAACCCCCGGAGACGGAAGAACAGAGAGACAGGCACACCGTGGTTTTGTTAAGGAAAATTGTGTATCACAGAGCTGTCATTATGCCCTGTGTTAATTTCTCATCTTGACATCATCCTGGTAAATCTACCAAGGGGCTCCCTCCTTCTCCTTCATGGCTTGTACATTTCACAGGGAAAATCGAGCAGGAGGAGCCAGAGAGCCTTGAACACGAAGAGCTCAGGGAAAGGGCTTCTGATCCTGGCAGAACACTCTGGAAGCCTGGCGGTGCCGCGGGAGCTCGCGAACAGATAGGAATCGACGGGGGGCACAGAAGGAGACCGCATGTCGGCGTGATAATTTAGTGTATGATCGTAGTGGCGCCTTAAACCAGCGAGAAGTGGAAAGGTGGAATTTTCAGTAAGCGGCACTGGAAAAATTGGATTGAAAGGAATCTGCATTTCATACCATATACGCCAGGATACGTTCCCAGTGGATCCAAAGTGAGGGGCACCCAGCCGACTCGGTCGGTACAGCATGCGACTCTTGATCTCGGGGTTGTGAGTTCAAGCCCCACGCTGGGTGTGGAGCCTACTTTTAAAACATCACAGGGGCCGCCTGGGTGGCTCAGTCAGTCAGGCGCCTGGCTCTTGATCTCGGCTCAGGTCATGATCTCACGGTTCATGAGTTTGAGCCCTGTGCTGGGCTCTGTGCTGACGGGGTGGAGCCTGCTTGGGATTCTCTGTCTCTGTCTGCCTCTCTCTCTGCCCCTCCCCTGCTCATGGGGGCGTGCGCTCTGTCTCTCAAACTTAAAAACATCATAATTAAATAAATGTAAACAATGAAATTATAATACTAAAATAAAACATAAGCAACTTGATTTATAACCTCAGAGTCTGTAGCTAAGATTCAAAAACCGAAATGCTGCAAAAGGAAAGACTGGTAAATTCTACTACGAGGTTTTTTAGTCTGCGTGGCCAAAAGCCACTGGGGAGCATAAGTCCCAGCTTCTTAAGTGTGAGCAGTGCCCGGCCACTGCCTTCCAACGAGGACCGTGTGGACGGGGAAACACAGGGATTTTCAGTGGAAAAGCACTGAAGCCTTCGCACTGCGGTACGTACGTCACGTTGATGACACGTAGCCCACGTACGGTGGGCTAGAGGCACACTCCCCTCTGTGGTCTTCCTCCCCCAACCCATGACCCAGTGTAACCACGAGAAAACCATCGGGCAAATCCTCACGGAGGGGCATCCCACGAAACAGCTGACCAGCCCACGCTCAAAACTGTCCGGGTCATCAAAAACAAGGAAACCCTGAGAAATCTGGCACGGCCCAGAGGAGCTAAGGAGAGACAGGCCAGCTAAATGCAACGTGAGATCCTGTACGGCATCCTGGGACCGAGAGTGGACCCATGGGTAGAGACTCAGGACCCCCCGAAACAGATCAGTCAGCCCCATAAGCAGGTGCTCAGCGAACGGTGGTCCAATGAATGAAAAGACGTGGAAGATCGTGTTAACGCCTCTCTGTTTCTCTCTCGTAGAAAATCGCCTTCATGGTGGCTCTAGGCCTGGTCACAACGGAGCACTTGGAAGGTAAGGACCACACGGTGACAGGCTGGGCTGGGACCAGCCCGCGGCCATGGGGTGACAGGTGATGGCCGGGGGGTGACAGGTGACGGCCGGGGGGCTGGCGGTGCCTGTGAGCGAGCCCCCCTTCCCCCCTTTGCAGAACTGAGGCACCTGTTAGCAATGCTTTGCTGATTGACTCTTGATTGTTATTGAGATTTTTACAAATAGCCCTCCTTGGGGCGCCTGGGTGGCTCAGTAGGTTAAGCGGTTTAACAGCTGACTTTGGCTCAGGTCATGATCTCAGGGTTCGTGGGTTCCAGCCCTGCGTCGGGCTCTCTGCTGACAGCACAGAGGCCACTTCGGATCCTCTGTCTCTTTCTTTCTCTGCCCCTCCCCACCTCTCAAAAATAATAAATTAAAAAAAACCCAATTAATAAATAGCCCTCCTTGTAAAAACTCTCCCCGTGCCCATGATACCCTAAATATGTATTTATTTGGACCCTGTCTTCTCCCACGGAGGGTCTGAGGTGCCTTACGGGCAACGCGTGAAGGTCACCACAAAGGTTTGAAAGGAAAAATTGGGTCTAAGAGATGAGTCAGGAAAGCATGTCAGAACAGCGTCACACAGAGAAACAGGTCACGGGCTCCGTCTGGCAGAGCAAAAGGAATTGGGGGTGGGGGGCCGTGGAAGGTGCCACGCCGGGCTTTCCCAGAAGGATTCCTGTGTGAGGCTTGGTGTAGACAGAGGCTGCCTGAGCGATAGGTGTGCCTGGTCCGCCCAGGCCAGAGCCTGGACCACGGGCGTCCCAAGCGAGGCCGCCCCAGGCTGGATGATGGCACACGGGGACGGTGGGTACCTGCCGCCCTCCAGCCCGAAGCCAGCAGCTCTGTCTACCTCGGAGCGAGCCGTGCAGGGGCCGCTCTGGGGCAGGGGTGCTGGGCAGGAGGGGACGGGGCCGCCCAGGGCTTACAGCAGAGGAGGTCAGGGCTCCCAGGACAGGAGGGATGTGGTGACCGCTGTGTCTGTGCCTTTCCAGAAATCCAGAGCAAGCGCCAAGAGCGGAAGCGGAGAAGCACAGCGAATCCTGCCTACAGCGGCCTCTTGGAGACCGAGGTGAGGCCCCGAGGTGATGACAATCAGTAATGTTCTTCTTCACCTTCTGAGTCCGGAATCAGCTGGGAAGCAGACGCGGGGGACCCAGATGTCTTTGTTTGCCTCGCCCAGGCTGCTCTGGGAGTGTGGCTTAGAGCAGGGGACGGCGGGCCGCCAGGACTTCCCGCCGGCGATCAGGCACTGGGGACACACGCCCGCAGCCCGCCCTGGGGTGGAAGCAGTGTCCTTAGGGCCCTGAGGTCCAGAGCTTGGGGCGGCTCTCTGAAGCAGCGCCGTGTCCCCAGGGGCCAGCGCCTGGCACCTTCCAGACTTGAGCTGTCCCTGGCGGAGAGCAGCAAGGCTCTGCGCGGCCTGCAGGAGGGATCGAGGAGCTGACCCAGGGTGTAGCTCAGTCTGGCCCGTTCGTCCTGCGTCTGTATCTTGTGACCAGAGGACGGGGGGCTCTGGCCCTGCCACTGCCCTGTCCCGGACCCCCCTGCCCCCCCATGCCATCCCGCCACTTCCTTTGCTCCCATCTTCCCCTGCTCCTGCCCCGAGGACCCGCCCGAAGTGCCCCTTCTTCTGCCCAGGCACTTCCCCCTTGCCTCCCTGAGCAGGCTCGTCCCCGAGACTGGGGGTCCCAAGCACTGCGCCCCTTTTGTAAGGACGCCTCTGCGCTGCCCCCTGGCCTGTGCGCGAGGAGACGCCGCGCTGCCCCCCGTGCGGTCAGGGCCCCGTTCCCTTTGCTGGGCCACCCATGCAGCCGTCCCTGCTCTGTGGGCGGACGGGGCCAGAGATGAGCCGGTTGACAAATCAAGGGCCGCCTCACGGCCGTGACCCGTGAGCATTTGTGGCCCTGCCACGGGGGCCTCTCCCTGGGCTCTGAGCACAGCCCGGCCACGGCGAGCGAGGTGGGTGTCAGGTCAGTCGTCCGTCCTTGCTGCCACAGCAGAGCCACCCCAAGCCAAGGGCTGAACAGCCTGTGGTTGGAGCCGCCTTTTGGAACATGCCGGAAGCCTCCATGTGTACTGATTGTTTGGTGCCAGGGAGCGCTCTACCCAGGGTTCCTGGGCCACTGGCCGCGAAGTGAGGTTGAGGGAGCCAGGCCGTCACAGCCCCCCCCCCCCCCCCCCCCGCCCCAGAACCAGCTGAGAAGGAAGGTGCGGGAGGCAGACAGGTGGGGACCAGGTGCCGGCTTGTCACTGATCTGCCCCCATTCGGGGTCTCGGACTCATCCCTCCTGAGCGAGGATGCCGGCCCGCCCCTCCCCTGCCCCGCAGCCCCTGTGTCCATCCCTGTTTCTGCCTCTGGAGCCCTGGTGGGGAGCCTATCCCGGGGACGCCCTGACGAGGGCTCCGTGTGAGATGGTTCTTCTTTTGTTTTCTCCCCTCCCCCCGCAGAGGAAACGGCTGGCATCCAACTATCTCAACACACCCCTGTTCCTCGCAGCGAGAGGTAGGTGCCTGCAGGGCGGGGCTTCTCCTGCCGCCACTTCTGGGGGGGGGGGGGCCGGTGGGCTCCGGAGGCTTTGGTGACTCTCGGCTCCTGGCCTGTGTGGGGCTGGTTTCCGGTGGACGGTGCGTCCCAGCGCCACGCCACGGCCCCCTGCGCCCGGTCGTCTCCCCAGGCGAGTAGCCGGGGCTCCGAGCTGGGATGAGGGTGCGAGGGCTGGACGCGACGGCGCTGTGTAGACTGTCGCGTGCTCCGTGCACACACAGGCTGAGCTTCCCACTGGACAGTGTCGTCTGCGGGCAGTTCTGACCCAGAAACCAGAAGGAAAACCACCGTTTGTGATCACAGAATAGAAGGAGAGTGGGTGGTTATGGATAAAAAACATAAGAAAAGAAGAAAACAGGTCACTTTGAGAGGTTCCCTCCCCTGGGCAGCTCACTGCCTGTCCCTGGTGGGTCCCGGCCAAGACCGGGGCAGAGACCCTCACTCCGGTCACGTCCCGGGTGAGGACCCCTCCCCCGCCCCCCGCACACTGGGCCTCGTGGCCTCCAGTCCTGGTCGGCGCTCCTCCAATGCCCACTAACGTGTTCTCCGCCCTTCCTCCCTGTGCCAGCCACTGAGGATCCCTGCTGGAAGGTACGTGCCCCCTGCTGTCAGGCCTGGGCGGGGCGGGGCATGCGTCCAGGGTCCGGGTGTGGGTGCCCCTGGCAGGCGGGAGCCAGGCTCTGTCCTCGATGCCCAGAGCTTTGCAACAGTACCCAGGCCATCGTGCCTGGCACAGCTGGGCGTCGCCGCAGACAGGCTCGGCCCGCAGCGTTCAAGCATGAGCTCTCCGAGGATGCAGGGACCCCCGGAGCCAGGACGGCCCCGTGGAGGCAGCTGACGCGGGGGCTGGGTGGAGCGGGTCCCCTCTGGTGCTCGCTGCACACCTCCCGAGGGGTTAGACTCAGAAACCCCCGGGGTCTCCGCCCTCGTGGCTGCGATCCTGTGGCCCCGTGGGACCCCGGTTCCTGTCACACCCTGCTTCCCGGGACACAGGCTGGTCGTGACCTCATCTGTGGGCCCGGCCTCAGAATTTATTCAGTGGTTTGCTTTTTTCTATAAGTTTTGGATCTCATTCTAAAAGAAGTTTCTAGTCCCTAAATGCCTAGGATACCCAAGCCACTCAGCAGCAGCAGGTGATGGGTACACACCCCGATGATTCTGTGCCTTTTGCTACCAGAACCCCATCCCGGATCAGGGCTGGTGTCTGCTGTGCCCAATCAGCGGGACGCAGGAGATGCCTGGAGTCCGAGCCGTGCCTCTGTAGACCCCAGAGTCCTGGAGGGGCCTTGCCTTCGAGGCAGGGGACCCCGACGCTGGCCCTGCTTGTCTCCAGCCCACTGAGCGGCCTCAGCTGCATGGCTCACCTTCCCTGGGCTCTTGGTCTGCAGTGAGGGGGTGGTGGCGGGTCTCCAGGGTCTCATCCCGGTCCGCTACCCCCTCCCCTGGGGACGGTTGGGCTCCAGTGTCCTCGTGACCTGGGTCGTTCCAGATGGGAGCCCTCTGGTCCCTTGCAGCTCTCAGGTTAGAAGATGCTGCCGACACGCAGGTAGACAGACGTCACTTGCAGGGAGAAGGGTTGCTAGCAGGTGCTGGGAGACTCTTCAGACTTTGCAGGTCACGGGAAGCACGGGGTTTTGAAAAGCTCCTCTCTTGGTTAGGACTGTGTGCAGGGCAGCAGGCTGGCTAGAAAGATAGTGAGCCCCCTGTCTCTGCAGGTGTGTAAGTAGAGGCTGAACGACCAAAGGGTGACGACTCCAGAAGGGACATTGGAAGTTCCTTTGTCCCAAGGGAAGGGGAGGCCCCCCCTGTATCGGGCTCCTGCATGGATAGTGCTTGGGGCATCCTATCCTGTTGAGTCTTCCCAGCGACCTGGGGGGCAGGTATCGCCAGACCCCGTTACGGAGGCGGAAACAGAGGAGCACAATAACCCACGCGGGATGCTCGGGGCGGGGCAGGTTCTGGGGCCTGGAGAGCATAGTGAATTCGTGCCACCCGAGGCCGAGCGCGCAGGCAGACAGCGTGGGGGGAAGTGTAGCAAGCACTGGCCTGGCCCCCAGGGACATGGGGTACAGCGCGACCCTGGGGGACTGTTTCCCAAGCAGCGGCAGGCCCTCCTGCCCCGCCGTCCACACTTGGGGACCAGGTCTCAGCCAGATGAACCCGGACGCAGGGCCACACCCCGCCCGACTCTAACCCCCAGGGGACACGGCCCGGGCGATGCCCTCCAGTCCCTTGTCAGGCTCCTCCCCCTCCCCCTCCTCCTCCCCCTCCCGGGTCCCAGGCCTATCCCTCCTCCTCCCCCTCCTCCTCCCCCCCCAGGTCCAGGCCTATCCCTCCTCCTCCCCC